TTTTTGAATAGCCAACATATCCACATGGTTGCAAATACAAAGGGGTATCATGTGAAAATTCTTCCCATCTCAGTCCCAGCCTTCCAGTTTCCCTGCATAGAGGCAAACAATGTTGTCCATTTCTTGTGTGTTCTTTGCAGAGAACTTTATGCAGATACAACCCAAAATCACATGCACATATCCTACTTGCCCTTGTGCACACAGATGGTGTTGTTCTGGAATATTGTTCTACATCTTGGCCTTTCCACTAGACAGTTAATCTTGGTGATCAATCCATATCCGTCATAAAGCATCTCATTATTCTTTACAGCTGTGCAGTCCTCCACCGTACAGATGCACCAACATCCAGCTAGCCAGTGCTTGTTATTTGGCATTTAGATTGCTTCATTGACTAAAGCAGGTCATTGGGAAGCCCACTTAAACTCTCTGTGATTCAGTTACTCATCTGTGAAATGGAATAAGAAGAACATCTACCTTCTAAGGCTATTGTGAGGATTAAATGAGATAAAACCTGAAAGGCACTTAGCAGGTACCAAGCCCTTGATATTTGAACTAGCGATTGTTGCTGTTGTTGCTTTCATTCCTAAAAGCAGACTGTTCCTTGGGGCTCACACCCAGGCTGTGGGGGACCCTGTGCCCAGGAAAGACCTGAGCCTCTGGCTTCCAGGGGAGGCAATTATTTTATGCTTTCTGAACTTGCAGCTGCAGCACTAGATTTAAGCCAGGACTTTGACTCTGGTGGAGCCGAAGCATGTGATCTCTCAGAGTCTCCAGGCAGGGGTCTGGGTGGGCAGGTCTCTGTTCGTTGCTGAGGCTGAGGTGGGAATGCAGCTAGGAGCCAATGGCCATCAAATACTTGTCAGAACCCGACAATCTGAAGTCCAGGGAGGAGTGTCCTACAGGTGTGAACACAGTGGTGCGTAAGCACCTGGGCTTTGGAGACAGAGTTCAAGGACTGGCTCTGCTACTTGGTAGCTGTGTGATTTTGAGCAGGTGGCTTAACCGCTCTGGGTCTCAGCTTTCTTGCCTGTAAAATGAGGATAACACCACTTACCTAGGAGTAAGAGTATAAGGATAAAAGTTTCATTATTTAATGAAGCTATGGAATTTGGCGCATAGTAGATGCCCAAGAAATGTTAGTCCTTACTGTCGGATAAACTATGATCTAGGAGAAGTAGGAAAAGGGAGTTACCACTCTACAAGTGCTTACTGTGCATCAGGGACCGTGGAGGTGCTTAAACTCATCATCTCAATGACCCCAAGGTTCTGCTGCGGTCCTAGGGCTGGAACACACATTTACCTCACACACACACCTCTACCTCTGCTCCTGGGACCAATGGTTGGTTTCCCTCTGCTGGTCCTCCCTGGCTTCCTGTCCATTATGGTGATGCTTTCTCTGTAGTGGGCAATGAGAAAGATGGGATGGTCTGAAAATGTCAGGGGCTCACCATTGGGCTTCCTCCGTTTCTATTAACTCACCCTTAAACTTGAGATCTTGGCTGGACTTCATGGAGTATTATTTGCAGGCAGGCAGGGGATATGTTAGGATCCAGCTCTGTCAGATTGGAAATGGTTAAGCAGCTTGCCTGGGGTGACATAATGAGCTCCGGGACCAGAGCCCCGCTTTCCTAAGATTCTCCCCTCTACTTTCACATGAAGTCAAGTTCTCTGGAAGCAGAACCTGAGACAGGTTTTTTAAAAAAATTTTATTGAAGTATAGTTGATTTGCAATGTTGTGTTAATTTCTGCTGTAAAGTGACTCAGTTATACATATATGTATATTTTTTCATATTCTTTTCCATTATAGCTTATCACAGGATATTGAATATAGTTCCATGTGCTATACAGTAGGACCTTGTTGTTTATCCAGTTCTATATATAATAGTTTGCATCTGCTAATCCCAAACTCCCAATACTTCCCTCCCCCACCCCGCTCCCCCTTGGCAACCACAAATCTGTTCTCTGTGAGTCTGTTTTTGTTCCTTAGATATGTTCATTTGTGTCATATTTTAGATTTCACATATAAGTGATATCATATGGTATTTCTCTTTCTCTTTCTGACTTATTCGCTTAGTATGATAATCTCTAGGTCCATCCATGATGCTGCAAATGGCATTATTTCATTCTTTCTTATGGCCGAGTGATATTCCATTGTATATATATACCACATCTTCTTTATCCATTCATCTGTCAGTGGACACTTAGGCTGTTTCCATGTCTTGGCTATTGTAAGTAGTGCTGCTGTGAACACTTGGGTGTATGTATCTTTTCAAATTAGAGGTTTGTCCGGATATATGCCCAGGAGTAGAATTGCTGGATCATATGGTAACTCTATTTTTAGTTTTTTGAGGAACCTCCATACTGTTTTCCATAGTGGCTGCACCAATTTATATTCCTGTCAACAGTGTAAGAGGGTCCCCCTGTCAGTTAGTCATGGCCCTGGGCTGCTCCCTGGGGTGGGGGTAGCTTCTTAGATATCTCTGGACAAGGCAGCTGCTCTCTTTGGCTGAGGGCAATGCTCTGTAAAATGGGGCTACCATAAGCCCCTAGTTGCTAACACTCCTAGAGGCTGGGGGTGGGGTGGGAGCACCACCTGTAAAGGGCATCAACAATTTCTGCTATACCCACTCACCTCCACCTGCATCTCCACCCCCAGCTGAGATGTGGACCCATGACCTTCTTTCTCTGGGCTGTTACTCCAGTTGTTCAAATAGCCTTGATTACTCAGGCTTCCCTCTCCAGGCCCAGGCTGCTTGACCGGGACAATGAGCCCATCCTGGGATGTTACACTCTGAGAGGCCTGGGTGGCAAAGCTGAAATAACCAATGCTGTCCAGGGTGGCTTCTGGCCTGGAGGGACAGAGCTGGGTGGTTTCCATGGGGCGGCCAACCAGTGAGTTTGGACTTTGCAGGCAGAATTTTAACAGGAAATGAGCTCCCGGTATGCCTGGCTGAATGCAGGAGAGGGTGGGCAAGCCACATTCTGCCTTGAGGGCAACAGAATTTGGAGATCAGAGTTCCTGGGAGGGGACAGTGTATTCCTTGTCCCAGCTCCCCCCGCCAGCCGCCACCTCCTGGGATCCTCCAAGGTCAGTGCTGCCTCTCTGCCTCAAAGCAGGAGGCGAGGCAATCAAATGAACGTTCGCTGTCCAGACCAAGGGCAGCTGAGGATGCTCGTTACCGGGAACTGAAGCTCTCAGTACCAGCAGGGGCCAGGGGTTCCCAGGGGGCCCAGGGCAGCCTCATTCAGCTCTTGGCACAGGCAATAATGAGACGTTAAGGTTCTCTTCAGCAGATTTCCTTCACAACAGGAGTCATCTCTCCTTTCTTTCTGTTTTCAAAATGGAAACAATGAAATGGTCATATTAATCTGGGAAGATTATGTTAACCACCCGGGAGCAGATGAAATGGCTTTTCTCTAAGGGGCCTTTCCTTCCCTGTGTCCAACCATCAGCCCCCCGATCCCCGGCTTCACCCACACGAAGATTTAATAATTGCACTGGCTGTAGAATAGGAAAGAGAGTTCTCTCCCTGTTCACCTCCCAACTGCTCATCTATTCAGCTTCCTAGGAAAAAACACTGTGTTGTACCAAGACCTTCAGGGAAATCAGAACCCACTGGACACAGTAACCTACCTTCTAAGGCTTTTTTAAAAAATAAATTAAATGTGATCTCCATGGTCTCTTTCCCCTTATTCTTTTTAGAGATTTATTTATTATTTACTTATCTTATTATTATTATTTTTGGCTGTGTTGGGTCTTAGTTGCGGCATGCGGGATCTTTTGTTGCACCGTGCGGGCTCTTCATCGTGGTGCACGGGCTTCTGTCTAGCTGTGGCGGTGAGTTTTCTCTTCTCTGGTTGTGGTGCTCAGGCTCCAGGGTGCGTGGGCTCTGTAGGTTGTGGCACACAGGTTCTCTAGTTGAGACGCGTGAGCTCAGTAGTTGTGGCACGTGGGCTTAGTTGCCCCACGGCATGTGGGATCTTAGTTCCCTGACCAGGGATCAAACCCATGTCCCCTGCATTGCAAGGCGGATTCTTTACCACGGGACCACCAGGGAAGTCCCTCTTTCCCCTTATTCTTTGCTTAGACCCGGGGGAGGGGGAAGGAGGGGAAGTTCAGAAAGGACATAAGTTTGGCTGAGTTCAACTAAGCTTAGTGTTGATGGAGACTCATTCACGCATTCAACAAATATTTATTAAGTGCCTTCTATGTGCCAGGTGCTATGCTGGGTATTGGACATTAAGCAGAGAACAAAACAAAGAGTTCTGCAAGAGGCTTACATTTTAGCAGGGAGATTCTGACCGTGATGGTGCTGTTTTCACAAGCTGTGATTTAACTTTGTGATGATCTCCCTAGTCACTGTGTAGAGCATGGACTGAAGTGGGCCAAGGGCAGAGGCAGAGAGACCGGTGAAGAGGCTCCTGTAGTAAGCCAGGCCGGGATAGTAGTGGTTTGGATCAGCATAGTAGCAATTTAGGCACAGAACATTGGGAAGATTCTGGATCTATTATGACAGTGAAGCCAGCATGACTTTCTGATGGCTTGGGTGTAAAGTATTAAAAAGAAAGCAAGCCAGGGATGACTGTGGCATTTGGGACCTCAAAACTCTGAGACATGGGTTTGTTTTCTTTTTGACCTGACCAAGTCCAAGTTAACTAGTACATGAGTCAGATGACTTCCTCTAGTAGAAAGACCCTGGATTGGAGTTAAGAGCTCTGACCCTCCCTCCTGGATATGTGGTCTTGCATCAACAATGAATGGGACGAACACAGATTAAAGGGAGGAAGTTCTTCCCTCTGATCCATTTCTGCCACAAGGGAGCTGTGACAGTTTCCCTCTTGGGGCCTGAAAGTCCCCATCTGGAAAGCGGAGAAGCTGGGTGAAGTTCCATTTCTTCTCTGTATCCCCCAGAGTGCTTGGCATAGACCAGGGGGCTGAGAAATAAAGGGTGATTGAATGACTGTTTGCATGATGTCCTTTCTGGGCTGTTGTTTTCCAGGAGCACTGGGCTTCTACCATGACTGACACCGTGTTCAGCAACAGCTCTAGCCGTTGGATGTGTCCCAGTGACCGACCCCAGCAATCAAAGTAAGTTGCTGGGTGTTCCTGGGAGTTGTTTGCTTTGGGGCAATGAGGTCCTGATCTACACTTGAAGGAGGAGAGGAATAGCAAGGAAAGAAATTTCTCTCCCTGGGGTGGAGGAAAAAGAACCTAGTGGGAGTTTATCGTGGAAACTTCACTGATTTTACTTCTTTGCAAGGTTGGAGTAACAAGATTAAATTCTGAGCTCCATGCCCTAAATGAGAGGTGGCTTGGTGGAATGGAAACAGCACTGACCTGGTGGTTAGAATCAGACTTGGTTCTGGTTCTAGATCTGAGCTACTCTGGGTGAATCTCTTTCCCTTCTTTGGACCTTGGTTTCCTCATCAATTAAATAAGGAAGTTGGACTAGATCAGAGATTGCAAACTGGCAGGCCACCAGCTGACTCTGACTTGCAGAAATGTGTTTTTTTTATTTTTTATTTTTGGCCTGATCATTTAAAAATTGGGAAATTTCACATAAAATAACTTCACATACTCTTTCCAGTAACTATTATACCTGAATCAGTGGTGTGCTGGGTCTGTACCATGGTGGTTCCTTAGAGCTGATGTTAAATTTTCAGGAATTTTGCAAGTCAGTTGTTAAACATGGCCAGTATTAAAAATTAAGTTGTATAGTTTTACAATTAAATTATATTAAACACAAAGGTGGTGAATACTTAACTTTAATCACTTCTTAATTTTTTTTAACATCTTTATTGGAGTATAATTGCTTTACACTGGTGTGTTAGTTTCTGCTGTATAACGAAGTGAATCAGCTATGCATATATCCCCATATCTCCTCCCTCTTGCGTCTCCCTCCCATCCTCCCTATCCACCCCTCTGGGTGGTCACGAAGCACCGAGCTGATCTCCCTGTGCTGCTTCCCACTAGCTATCTATTTTACATTTGGTAGTGTATATATGTCCATGCCATTCTCTCATTTCGTCCCAGCTTACCCTTCCCCCTCCCCATGTCCTCAAGTCCATTCTCTATGTTTGCGTCTTTATTCCTGTTCTGCCCCATCACTTCTTAATTATTTTACTATGTTTTGTTAGTCTCCATGTTATTTGTGCCTATGATACCTGTATGGTGAAATACTATATAATAGTACATTACTGCATGTTTCCTCCCAGTTCTGCATTTAGTGACATCATATAGGTACTTGAAATCAGCCACAGTGGGGCTTTTTCTCCAGAGGTTCAACTGTTAAACATTTACCAGCACACCACTGCCTGAAGACCTTTACAGTCTAAGTCTATTGTTTATCATCCCTGCAGATTTTCACTCAAAGGTCTTATTTTTTAAACGCTTGGTAATTTTTATTGTTAGCTCAATCTGTGAGAATCCTGGGGATCTACCATGGGAATATTTTCCTCAGAGAGATTTGCACTTGCTTCTGCCAGGAATCAGGTGTGCTGCTCACCCAGGATGTGACCTGAGCTCCCTTAGAGGGTCCTAGCTCAAAGTGGGGGTCTCAGATTCAGCTTCCTCACCTTGTTAGGAGCTCAGAGTCAGCCTCTGGAACATAATGCTGCTTTTTACATTGGCTTACTGCTCACAGCTCCCTGTTCTGGATTCAGTTTGCTGGGTTTTCTTTTTCTTTTTTAAAAAATTGCCTCATAAAGGGGTATAATTGATTTACCTCTAATAGTACACATTTAAAGTACAGTTTGATCATTTTTACACATATGTGCATACTCATTCCCCTTTGCAGTCTCTCCTTTCTGCCCCTCCCTCTCCCCACCCATCCCTAAGTAATTACTAATCTTCTTTCTGTAACTATAAATTAGTTTGCATTTTTTAGAATTTCTATAAATGGAATCATTCAGTATGTACTCCCTTTTTGAGAGATGTCTTCTTTCACTTCGCATAATTATCTCATGATCCGTCCATATTGTTTTTCATATCAATAGTTTATTCCTTTATATTGCTAAATAGTATTTCATTGTGTGGATATACCACAATTTGTTTATCCGTTCACCTATTGATGAACATTTGGGTTGTTTCCAGTTTGGGGCTAGTACAAATAAAATTTGTATAAACATATACTTTCATTTCTCTTGAGTAAATACTTAGGAGTAGAATGTCTCAGTGGTATGTATAGTAGGTGTATGTTTAACTTTTTAAAAAACTGCCCGTTTTCCAAATTGGTTGTACCACTTTAAGTTTCCACCAGAAGTGTACAAGAGTTCCATCTCTCTTCCTCCTCACCAACACTTGATATGATTAGTCTTTTCCATTTTAACCATTCTAATGTGTGCATAGTGGTATTAGTTTTGTGATTTTAATTTGCACTTCCCTAATGACTAATGATGTTGATTGTCTTCTTTTGTAATTTTGCCATTCGTATAACCTCTTTGTTAAAGTGTCTGTTCAAATACTTTGTCCATTTAAAAACTGGGTCATTTATCTTCCTGTTATTAAATTTTCTAAGCTTTTTTTCATGTGTTGTAGATAAAAGTCCTCTGCTGGAGACACATTTTGCACATATGTTTCTTGGTCTATGACTTGCATTTTCTTTTTCATAACAGAGTCTTGAAGAGGAAAAGTTTTTTTATTTTGATGAAGTCTGTTTTGTTTATTTGTTTCGAAGTAGGAGGGTTGTTGGAGAATTCCCTTATTTTCTAACAATCCTAGGGTCTTTTGGAATATTTAGTGCCCTCATATTCTTGAAGCAAAAGTCCCTGTCTATTTACTACTTCTACCTAAAACCTCCTCTAGTTATACAAGTTTTATAGTTTTGAAGACATTATTGAACTCTGTTGGTTTCCTTTTTGAAAGGAAACTTCTAGTTTCCAAGCCCTCCCCATGATGTCCTCTTGAAGCCAACCTTACTTGGCAGACAATATTCCATCAGCCAAAAATTGTCTCTGTAAGATAAACAGTTGCCTGAAGGTGGATGGGGTAAAATATTTATTTTATTTAAGAAATGTCAGTTAATTAAAACCCCATACATAAGAGTTTACTTTAGTCAATATGAAGCCAAACAATTTGCCTTACAATTAAATTAGAATTATTCAAACAGTCTGGATGCAGTTTCATTAAAGTGCTTCTGGGCTCCTGTGAAACATCTTGGCATTCTGAATGCATCCGGCTGGCTTGATTGCTACTGCGTTTTCTTCAGATGTTAAAATTATTTTCCAATAAATGCTAATGGGTGAATTATAGTCATCACACATGCTATCTAGTCTGCAGCAGTGATGATGTGCTAATGCAGACGCTTCAAATGTCTTTCTCCAGTAAATTAAGAAATCTAGTCTTAATTAACTGCTGGCTAACCAGATACTCTTTACTCCCTTTGTGATTTCTCTCAGCCTCCTTGAATCTAACGATGGTGTTTGGAACGCAGTTGTGGTTGTGTTTGAAAGAAGTGAATGTATCTGTTTCTTGCATCGGTAGGACAGGGCTTCAGCTATCTATGTTGGGGATACATGCGGAGAAATGCTGGTCTCCAATAGTTGATACTTCTCTATAGTTTTCAAGTCTGCAAGCCTGAGAGTGCCAGAGATCAGAGGTGGAAACTGAGGCACAAAGAGGAGATGTGACCTGCCTATGGTAGCATGTCTAATAAGTGAAGAGCCTGGTCTCCTTTTTAGAGTGGAAGGACTTGCTTCCCCAAACTGGGGCACTGCGAGTTCTGCTTTCGGATGATCCAGTCACGGTTCAGGGCTCATTGCCTACCTCAGAGTGCTCCTTATCCCTCAGTGTTTGAAACAACAGAAACCAAGAATGTTATCATCATTAAGTGATTCCTTTTTAGTGCCAAAAAACATTATTCAAATACATAAATGATCAGATTGGTTAATTAATAAGCTGAACTGATTGGTCATTTTAATCAAGGCTGTGGCTCATACAACCCTACATTGCTGCAGCCTTGTTTTAGATGTGCTGGAATAAGATAATAATGACTGATAACAAATGGAAGTAGGTCATTGTGATTTAAACAGAACTGTGTGGTTGTGGCATCCAGGCAGTGTTGATATTGTTAAGAGATTTTTTCCCCTAACTTTATTCATTTTGTTCTTTCTCTCCTTTCTTTGCCTTCCTTCAGTGATAAAGAACAGTGAGTATTTTGTAATACTTTTATTTTTCTGCAGACTGAATTTTATCTCTTTTCTGATTAAAGTGGCTTTAAAGATAGATGAAGAGAGATGGTTCAAAAAGGAACTAGCATGTTTTACATATCTAAAAACAAATTCAAGTTGTTAAAAAAAACACATACCCCTCTTGATAAAGAAAAATATGAAATTTCAAAAAAAAAATCTTGGTAAAAGGTTGGAAAATATTCCTTGGGAGAGCCCTCAATTTAATTTTTGTTAGCAATTAGTGGGATTCGGCAAGCTTATTAACCGCCCTGTGCCTCTGTTTCTGCAACATTTTGCCTGGGAACACTGTTTTTATTTAAAGAAAATATTAACTCAAATGACTACTATCATTAATCAAAGATGATGATGAGTAGAACAGAGCTTGTGGGAAGTTATGTGCTATACACATGGTCTCTGTCACATCATGGAAGGTCAGCCTGATTTCCCAGTGAAATGCCTTTGACTCAGAGGTCCTATCTTTGCTCATAACTTTTGTTTTAAATTGGATTCATTTCCTAAATATGCATGACAGATTGGATGCTGGGTCTAACAAATGAACAGTCAGGCTGCAAAGCAGATGGGACTTTGGTTGTGTGTACACATTGGGAAACTATGGGAGGTCATTTTTACCTTCCCCTTGATGGGGAAGTGTTCACAGAGCCACAGCCAGAGCACCGAGTCTAGCCTCAGAACACCCAGGTCTGAGTCCTGCTCTGGGACTCAATGTCAGTGTGGCCTTGGGGCACTGCCCTTCACCTCCTTGAGCCCTGGCCATAATGTGGGTATGTTAACCCTGCCCTTCCACCTTCACTGGGAGGTGGTCCGGTCAAATGAGATGCATGGGAAAGCTTTGTAAACCGTAAAGCACCAAAATCAGAGGAAGGTGTGGATCACAACCTTGCTTTACCCTTGTGTGTATTTTATATATATATACCTTGTATGTATACATTGTGTGTGCATGCATATATGTATGGTGTGTGTTCTACAGTCTCTGTGTTGGCTGGTAAGATTTTGGTCTCTTTATGAATATTGTGAGCATATCATTCAGACATGCTAGGGAGAGATGCTGAGATTTTGTGCGATTATAAATATGAACATCACAAGAGAGAAGTTCAAGACTTCAGAGGGTCCCAAGTGCTTCAGGCTTCCTGAATGCTGAAAGCTGAAAGGTAGGGTGTGTGTCCATCCTCCTTCCCTCCTTCCTTCATCCTCTCCCTCCTCTCCTCTCCTCTCCCCTTTCTCCCTCCCTCCCTTCCTTCCTTCATTAACAAACACATATCATGCACTGTGCTAAGCACCAAGAATACAAGGTTAGCCAAAGTCTGAGTGGGGATGTCTAGAAGGGTTTACAAACAAATAGTCAGTCACCAACAAATACACTTTATAGTGCAAGGAGCTATAATAGCAGAATCACAGCGGCCAAGGGAGCACAATGATGGGCACCTAACCAAATTTTGGGGTCATGATGGGAGAGCTTCCTGGAAGAAGTAATGTGTAAGCTGAGACCATGTAAAGGAGGTACAAGATAAAGAAGAGACAGAGGAGTTCCAGGTAAGGGAACAGCATGTGCAAAGTCCAAATAGGAGAGAGAGCATGGGATTTTAGAAAAGCTGAATGGCACTCAGTCTGGCTTAAAAGATTACCAGGAGCCCGAGATCCCCTTAGCTTTCTGAAGGGAGTTGGGGAACCACAGCATCCTTTTGGCACCCTCTTTAGTCTGTTAGGGGTAAATTTCATCAAAAAGGGCCTTTTTACCAGCAGGGCTTATGTAAAGTGTTTTGTGGTGTGGATGCCCCTCCTTCCACACTCTCCCCTTCAGGATTCATTAAAATCTCATTCACTGAGCTGTAAAGAGACTTCCTGCTGACACCTGCTTCTGTCGGCATCCTGGGGGAAGGGAGGGGATAAGAAGAAAGGAAAGAAAAAGGATTAATTTTCTGCACAGCACCGCTGTTCAATGCTTCAGAGCCTTCGTGCCCTGACAGCATTTCCATCATCCCACTCCTTTTGGGAGTTATAATATATTAATAGAGACATCCAGTGGGTATTTATTATGTGACTGTTGTGTGCATGAAATGAAGAATCAAGGTGGGAGGCAGGAAGGAGCTGGGAATCTGCCTTTTGCAGTATTTTAGGGGGAAACATCTGTGAGGGGCTTCCACCTGCAGTCAGGACTAATTTCCTTTTGTGTTAGAGGCCACTGGTGCTAGTTTGTTGAGAGAGTTCCTTCTGACCATCTCTAGATGCACCTAAACAAGTACATTCAGGTCACAGATGAAGCACGTCCAGAATGCTGGTGTCTCGAGCCTCTGACCATATTCTCCCCACACAAGAGAATTTCTTGGCAATTCTCTTCCCTCTTCTGAGTGTCAAGCATCTGGAAGATGAGCAGGTCAACTGCAGTGATCTTTAGACTTCTATTAGCAGCAAAATTCTTTCTTTGAATACTGTTTTATTCAGAAGCTAAATATATAAGACAGATAAAGAGTGGCGATGGATAAAGACCTGTCATGGCTGAAAGCATTAAACATACCACCGTGCAACTGTAAGTTAAAATAATACCAAACTGTAAAGTAGGGAGTTTAACAAGCTTCACTTTTTTGTTGCCACAGTAGATAGTGTGTCAGTTATCTTTTGCTGTGTAACAAACCACCTTAAAACTCAGTGGGATAGAAAAACGATGATTTATTCTCAGGGACCTGGGCTCAGCTGGTGGCTCTGCTGATCTTGGCTGGGCTTTCTCATGTATCAAAGGGTTGTCTGATCTAGGATGGCTGTGGCTGGAGTGACTCAGCTCTGATCCACATGCCTCTCATCCTCCAACAGGCGGTCCTGAGCTTTTTGTCATGGTGATGACAGAGAGTCAGAGAGTAAGTAGAAACACACAAGGCTTTTGCAGGCTTAGCCCCAGATGGCACAACATCTCTCCCCTGTGTTTTATTGGCCAAAGTAAGCCATAGTCCAAGCAGGATTCAAGGGGTAGGGAGAAAGACCCAGACCTTTTGGTGAGATCAATTTCAAAGTCGCATGGCAAAGGGCATGGATACTTAGAAGGGTGAAGTATTGAGGTCACCAATGTAATAAACTATATCTCATGATTTTATTAAATATCAAAGATTAAATTCTTAAAAAAAATTTTTCTCTCACTCTCTTTTTTTTAAAACTGGCATCCTTGCTTTGCTAGTGTTGGGAACCCAGCACTGCCATCTGGGCTGACATGAGGATGGAGGGCCTGGTTCCCTGCCCACTCTGTCCATCTACGACCCACTCACCTGCAGCCCTTTGAGATCCCTCCAGGGAACTACAGACAATAGTTTGAAAACCATGGCTTAGACAGTTTGGGGAAATAGGAGGCAGGTGCCCTTCAGTGATTCTCCAGGAAGCATTGTCCTAGGTATGTGAACGAGAGCAGAGATGGGCCAGCCCTCTTCGCCCTGTCTCAGCCAGTAAGCCAGGGGTCACTCCTCATGCAGCTACTGAGGGTCAGGAGTAGCCTCTGAAGGTCCCCGCAGGAAACAGACATGAAATCATTCCCACTTAGCAGATCTGGAAACTGACATTCAGAGTGTCTCAGGGCCCTAGTACACACTGCTAATAAGCCACAGGTCCAGGATTCCAATCTTAAACCCCGCCAGGTCAAGGAGGGCTCAAGTTGGTGCACAGTAGGCCCTCTGGGTATTTACTGGACTGGATACAATGCTCTGAGTAACTTGTCCAAGGAGGCAACACTTTAGTCTCCACCTTTGGTTTTTAACGAGGTCCCAACACTGGACTCTGGTCTTAAGGACGTGGAGCTGGAATCCTGTGCCCAGAGGCCCTTGGCAAGGGTGCCACCGTCCTGTCACAGGAGCATTCCTAAGGCCCCCATGCTCACAGTGTTCTCCAGCCCAGAGGAGGCCCAGACAAGCCCATTTTCTCCCTTGAGAGCAAAGGCTTTGGTTTGAAAAACCATCTCCTTTCCCTCTGTTTACTTTTGGGATTAAAACATGAAAATCCACAGGAGGCTTTCGAGTCCCCACTGAGACCAATCAGTGACATTTTCAAACACTAGATGAACTGTTTGTCAACTGCGTGTTTTTGAGCAGAGGATGGGGGTCTGCAGAGGTGCTGGCAGCCTCTAGCAGGCCTTCTGCTCATCTGCAGATGGAGACAATTATCCTAGGCAGGCCTCCTGTGGACCCCCATTCCTGCTTATCTTTCTGCAGCCGTGCATTTCCTGTGCATTCTGATTCCAGCGAGTTGTGTGGTGGGGTGAGAGGCATTGGCTTCAGGTCTGACCCATGGCTGACCATACCCATGACCAGACTGTGAGCTGTGGGAATGTGCCCTTGAAAGGGTCTCCACTGGGTCTGAGGCCCAGCATCTCACCTGTGCTCTGTCTTGGTCACTGAGCTACTTTGTAGAGGCAGGAAATAAATGGAGGTGGCGATCAGAAGAGAATGAAGGAAGAAAAGAAGGGATGAAGGAAGGAAGAATAGGGGCAGTTGAGGCATCCATTTCCACGGAAAACCAGAGGGACCTGGGGAGGTGGCTGGATGAGGTTATAACTAAGGCTCTTCGGGAAGGATGGGTGGTCTTCATTATGCAGGAGTCCAATGTATCCTTTACAGTTAATGGGAAGAAACATCAGGCTGAGGGATATTAGCACACTGTAAGGAAGATCTTTCCAACAGAATGGCATAGACTCCTAATGAGAGAGTGAGGTCTTCATCACGGGGAGCATTCAAGCAAGGCTGAAAGACCCCTGTAGGGAGGCTGTGCCAGATGGGCTTTCAGGTGATCCTCAGTGGCCCTCATGCCTTTGTGTAACCTCCTCGCCTTGAGTGCGTGCAGGACCTGGGATGTGTTTCTAACCTATAGAATATGACAAACAGGATGGAACATCACCCTTGTGATTACATCATGTTATATAAGACCCTGTCTCATTTGACCGGAGCTTGAGAGTCACCTTGTATACTTGATGAAGGAAGTGGCCCACAGGATGAAGTTGGAGAAGTCTGCTTGGTTAGGAATTGCAGGCTGCCTCCAAGACATGGAGGTGACTTCCTCCTAATAGCCAACAAAAAGCTGGGGTCCTAGGTCACATGGCTGCCAGGAAATGAATTCTGCCAATAACTCAAATTTGCCTGGAAGCTGATTCTTCCCCAGAAAGGCTCAGGATGAGAACCCAACCCAGCTGACGACTGATTGCAGCCTTGTGAGATGCTGAGCAGAGGACCCAGTTAAGCCATGCCTGGACTTCTGACATGGAAACTGTGAGATAATAAATGTGTGTTGTGTAAAGCCCCTAAGTTTGTAATAACGTGTTATGTAGCAGTCGAAAATGAACACAGACAATATCAATGGGGCTTTGTGCCACCCTGTCTCTATCCTCCAGCTGGACTGATTTTTCCAGTTATCTAATGCTGCAGAACAAATCATATCAAACGTAGTGGCTTAAACAACAGAAACTACTTACTACTTCTTGCAGTTTTTGTTGGTAGATATTTGAGAGTGGCTTGGCTGGGTGGGTCTGGCACAGTTGTAGTCTTACGTCAGCTGGGGCTGCAGCCATATAAGGGCTCGACAAGGGCTAGAGGATCACACAGCTGGCACGTTAGGTGCTGGCTGTTGGCAGGGACCTTAATTCCTCTCCACATGGGCCTCTCCACAGGGATGTTTGAGTGTCCTCATGACATGGCATCTGACTTCCCCTAGACTGCATGACCCAAGACACCAAGGCAGAAGTTGCAATGTCTCTTGTGACCTAGCCTTGGAAGTCACCCACGGTCACTCCCATTGTATTTAGCTGGTCACACAGGACCAGCTGGGATTCTGTGTGGGAGGGGATGGCACAGGGAGGGTGTGAATACCAGGGGGCAGAGATCCTTGGCGAGCATCTTGTAGGCTGGCTACCATATTGATCTTCCTTCACCTCCTCAAGCACACTGCCCACTCTCTCAACTCCAGGCCTTTGCAAAGACCATTTCTCTGTCAGGCTCAGTTTCTTCCTCTGCCTTCCTCTCGCCAACTCTAGTTTATCTCTGAGGTCTCAGTAGGAGCCAGCCATACCTTTCTGCAGCCTGCAGTTTATGTAATTTAGGAGAGCCCTCTTCAAAATAAAGAAGACAAAAATATCTCTCTTTTACAAAATTTTCAGGACAGATGATCATTACGAGAGCTCTTCCCAGGGCCTTGGAAGGTGCCTGTGCTAACAAAGGGTCCCAAATTTAAGCTCCACCAGCATCACAGTAAATCCTCTTCAGGGTCTCAGAGTAGATGTCACTCCCTCAGGGCGCACTCCTTGGTCCCCTAGAATAAGTGACTTCTGTTGCTTCAGTCTTGCTGTGGGTCACACTTATAATCAGACATTTATCATCCCTTTTGGCCATAAGGTATTGTGTCTTATTCAAAAACTCTTTCTGTGCTTACCCTCAGACACTATTCTAAATGCCATTGAAATGATAGTGACCCAGACAGGGTCCCTGTCCTCCTGGAATCCTACGTTCAGTTGGGGGGAGAGAGGCAACAAACAGGTAAACAACAAACTTCTTTCAAAAGATAATTTCAGTTAGTGATGGATACAAGTGAACCTGGGCAATGAGAGCTCAAGGAAGACCTCTCTGAAAGGCTGACATTTGAGCTGAGACCTGAATGATGAGAAGGGGGAGATCTGGGGAGATAAGTCATCCTGGAAGCCGGGACAGCAAGTGCAAAGGCCCTGAAACAAAAACAAGGTTTCAGTGTTCAAGATTGAGCAGGGAGGCCAGTACAGCTGGAGTGTAGTGAGAGGGGGCGAAAAGGATGGAGAGTCAGGTAAAGCACAGATTGGGTAGGACTTTGCAGATAGGCAAGAAACTAAGTTTTACTTTTATTAAGGTAAAATTCACTTAACATGCAATTAACCGTTTTAAAGTGCACACTTCAGTGGCATTTAAGCACATTCACCACATTGTGCAACCACAACCTCTATGTAGTCCTGGGTTTTATTCTAAATCAATGAGAAGCCATTGGAGGGTTTGGGGAAGGGGATTTGAGTATGTTTAGCGTTTGTTCATCCCCTGGATCAGAGGCCCCTGATCCAAGGCAAGATGTGTTTCCACCAGAATTTCCCCAGGCTACCCCCTCCTTCCCTTTCTCGCAACAAGACTTGCCCCCAAGACATCTGCTTCCATTGCTTTCAAACTCTTCCTTCTGTGCTCTTCTGAACAAACGAACTAAGGTGGGAGGATGGAAGAAGAGACGGGAGCAGGGAGGAAGATGGGGCCTTTAATTTCCAACTTTGAGTGTCAAAAGGGAATTTCATGCCTGCTGACGTGATTAGAGCAGTGGAAGTAATAGAGGCTGGCAGCTAATGGGGTGCTGGCTCCAGGGGATTCATAGTTACTGATTTTTGCCCCAACAGGGACAAGAATTTCTAGTGGTGTTGAACCCTGCATTCCACTTGGGCAATGCCCCTCAGTGCCCTGGGGTGCATCGCCCAAGGAGATAAGGTCCGAGGTCTGTACTTTGCCATAGACCACAGCGTTAGCTCTCTACCCAGCAGCCTCTGATCCTCTGCAGCGTTCAGTTCTCTCCGTACTGTGGAGGTTAAGTGTGCAGGCTGCCCAGGTCCGAATTCCACCTCTGCCACTTCCAGCCATGTGACCTTGGGCAAGTGGTCTAATGTCTCCTCACCAGAAAATAGACAATAACAGTCCTGCCTTGTGGAAATGTTGTGAGGATTAAATGAGAAAATGTGGGCAGCCAGTAGGTGCTACATCAGTATTTGCTTTTTTTATTTTAAAAAAAAAGATCAAGGAGAGCACAGGATGGAACCCAAAATGCTATAGGAGCTTTGGAGGCAGGAGGGCTAGATGTTTATGTGAAATCAAGAGATTTTTATAAAACTAGTTGACCACTAGTTTAAACTTTTTTTTAAGGACTCTGTGGCCTACACCAAATGTATTTGTGCCAGACAGGGCCTGGCGTCAACCTGGGATCCAGGGCCTCAGACCAGCCTCCCAGAATTGTTTCTGCTCCTGCTGTAGAAGTCTACTGTTGAGATTCTTTTCCTGAGAACACCATTATCCTCCAGGTTTCCCTGAACTTCCTGCAAATGCTACTTCCAGAGTGTCTGCCATGTGCTAAGCACTTAATAAACTCATCAGAACCTTATGAGGGGGGAGGTATGTGTGTCCTGTTGTACAGATGAGCAAACTGAGGCTCTGAGAGATTGGATTCTTTTACCCAGGGTCTCCCAGCAGGGATTTGAACTGAAGTTTACCAGACTCCAGGAGCTAGAGCCCAACCACCACTCTGCAACTGCTGACTTTGTCTGCAGCCTCACACCTTCCTATATTGCCTTTCAGGCTCCAGACGGGATGGTCTGTTCACCCCAGTGGTCAGGCAGACAGAGGGAGGAAGCAGGAAGAGCTGACAGATGAGGAGAAGGAGATCATCAACAGGGTGATTGCTCGTGCTGAGAAGATGGAAGAGCTGGAGCAGGAGCGCATCGGGTGAGGCCTGACGCCGCGCATCCGGCCTGAGAGCCAGAGACGCCAGGAGGCTGTGCTGCTCAGGGCGGGTGCGCTGTGGTGGGGCAGGGCTGCCCTCGGGGTTTGTGACCTGTGATGTGCCAAGCCACCCGCTCAGGCAGAACTGGAATCCTTGGTGCATGAGCTGCGAGAGCTGGAAGACAGAAAAGAGAACAGGGGAGAGAGTGGGCTGGGGGCTGGCTGGGGAGGGGCTTCTGGGCTGGGGGTGCATTAAAGGTGGAGAAGGGAGGATCTTCTGAGAGGGGGATGGGAGATTGTCTCTGAAGGCTGGAGACGCGTGTGTGAGCACAGGTGTCATACCCATTCCAGCTGCATAGGAATATGTTCTAGAGACATTGGCCATGTAGGTGCCAGAACGATAGCCGAGGGTGAAGTAAGGGGGAGGAAGTGTATGTCAATGAGACAGTGCGTGAAAGAGAGAGCACATCTGAAACGAATTATAGGAGAGAATTGGAGAAATCCATCCTGAAGGGAGGCCAGCATGAGAGCGAGGTAGCAGAGGTTGGGTCTGGACTCTAAGAACTCGGCTTCCATCACAGCTCCCCCACTTGCCGGCTGTGGATCCTGGGCCATGTTGCTTCACCCTCTGAGCCTCAGTTTGCTCACTTGTAGAATGGGAGAAATAAAAGGAATAGTCCCACAGGATTGTTGTAAGGAGTAAGTGAAATGATGCTTGTATGGTTCCTGGACCAGGCCTGGTCGTACTTCATGCTTAATGAATGGTAGGAGGAAGGGAAAAAGTGGGGTTTGGAGGGCAGAGGTAACAAAAAACATGTATGGGATGTAAGAAGGTGTGTGTGTCAGAGTATCAGTGAGCCAGGACAGTGTTAGAGAGAGAGGGAGGGCTCTGTGCGTGGGCTTGGGAAGGGTGGAGTGGGGAAGTGAGAGGGGAGGAGTGTCTGGGAGAAGAGGAGAGTGAGCGTATGTATGGTGGGGGGGGCTCTTGGCGTGGGTGGAAACTTCCACTGCTAGGATGCAGGGAGGCCACCAAGGCATCCTCTAAGACTGAACCTCAAATGGGAAATGGGAGGAGCTGCTGAGATGCCACCCCTTCCCCAGACCTTTCTTCCAAGGGGCAGCCTTTGCCAACTGCTTACAACTGGTTTGGGCACTGGGGTGCCCTTTGATCTCCCTACCCAGCCACTCAGTGGGAGGTTAACAAGATTCTTGGATGGAAAATGATGCTGTGAACACACAGGAAGTGGGTGCCTTTGATTTGAGCCTCTGCAGATCATTTTATTCAGAGTGGGCTGGGGAGATCAGAGGTGCCGTTGACAAATGACAAATAACCTGGCACAGGCGGAGTCAGCTTTGTGCTCGGCCCTCCGTCAGGTTCCTCAGTAGGTTGCTAAAGGGATGGGTCTTGAGGGGTCTGCTTATAGGGTTGAGTTTTTATTTTGCTTTTTAAAAGATACATCAGGAGTGAGGAGTTGTCCAGGTGGGAGGTCTGTGAGCATGTGTGTAAGTGAGTGTGGGAGTGTGTGTGTGTGTGTGTGTGTGTGTGTGTTCACTTCAGCCAACAAGGAGCCTCAGCCTTGCAGGAAGGAAGAATATAGATGTTAAATTCTTGCTTGGAAGCAAGAATTTCCAGCCTTTTTCCTGCGGAGCACTTTCCACTAGCTAACTTTGAATTTTATACATTGATTATCTCTCTCTCCCCGTTAGATTATAAGATTCCTGAGTGTAGAGATTTTTGCCTGTTTTGTTTGCCACAGAATCCCCAGTCCTAGTACACAGGAGGTGTTCAGTAAAATATTTGGTGAGTGAGTGAGTGAACATGGTAGACAATGCTGCCCCCCAATTTCTTTCTGCATCTCCTGTGAACAAGAGGCTGGAGAGCTTAGAATTTTGTAGTCCAGGGTCCATATTCCCAGGGAAGACACTATGATTGGCTGCCTTATGTTTATATCAGATTCTGTCCTTGTTAACTGTGGCCAGAGGTGCTGGCTACATTGTGCAAGCGTGGCCACTAGGCTGCCTTTGGGTGTAAAGTTAAGGGGATCTCTGTGGACTGAGCGGATTCTGGCTTGAACATTCTAGAACAGGGCTGATGGGTTCCCTGCCTTGTCCCCCATGTCCTGCCACATTGCCTGACCTGGTGACATGGTGGGAGAGCACAGTGGTTAATCCCTGGGACCCCAGAGTCAGAGAGACCTGGCTTCAAATTCCAGCTCTGCCACTTACTCCCTGTGTGACCTTAGATAAGGCACTTTACCTCCTCCTCAGCTGCAAAATGGGGATAACGTTAGCACACGTGTCCCAGGGAATGTTTAATTCACATTCAAAAGATTATCGTGGTACCTGGCACAGAGTGCATGCTCAGTTAATGGTGACAATCATTAATGACAAATTTGCTGAGGAAACTTATTTTTTTACACTGGCCAAGGTCTCCGTTCTAGAATCATGCCCGAGACTCCTGTTTGGCAAGTCCCTGGCTTCCCCTGAAGGAGATTTCAGAGCCTTCCAGGGAAGCTGGGGCCAAGCCCATGGTGACAGAGTGTCCCTTTGCTGAGAGAGTATGTTTTCTGCCGGAAAGGGGAGGATAGTCCTAGAAGATTCTGGCTGAGGCCCTTTCCCCTGCTCCCTTCCAGCTGCCAGCCCTTGCTGGTAGCATGGCCAGAGGCAAGCCCATGCTATTTGTGTCTTATGACCTTGAACCTGCCCTCATTCCTGTTCTACTCACACTTCCCTGGGAGAGGATCAGAGTAAAGTCAGATGAAAGGAGAGAGACATATCAGACACGGATCGAGACTGAAAATGGGGCGCCATCAGGGCTCCCCCTCCAGAACCTGAGGCTCAGTTGATGAGCCTTGGGGGCTTCAGTTCTCCACTTGTCCAGTGAGGCGGGTCAGTCTGAGTCTCAGGATCCTTCCTGATCCGACTCTACAGTATTTGGGGGTGTCTGGTGAAGGACCCTGTACCCTGTGGTTGGCTGCACCTCTCAGAGCAAATGAGCTCCTTCTGGCTCTTCTAAGTGTTAAAACTGCAGATGTAGCTGTGTCCCCTTCTGGGTCTAGACACCAGCTCTGTGATGCTGAGTTTTCTTTTCTATTACCGAACAGTCATCTGGGAGACACGTGAAGTCATCGTTTACATAGTAAACAATCATTATAAATGGGTACCATTTAGTGATTGAGCACTTACTATGTGCCAAACATCAAACCTAAAAACTTCATATGGATTTAACTCATTAACTGCTCCTCTCGACCCTATCAAGTAGGTGCTATTTTGCAGGTGAGGAAACTGAGGCTTAGAAAGGTTAGGTCACTTGTCCAAGGTCACACAGAGCTAAGATATATGTCCCTGTCTGTCTGGCTCTCAGAACGATGTTCTAAACTATTAGGTATCTTTCCTGAAGGTGTGGCCTCAAATTCTTAGACTTTGCAGGACATGGACATTTTTAAAGCTCAGGTTTGGAGGGGGCATTTGGGGAGCTACAAGCTAGAATCCCTTCCGTGCTGGCCCAGTGATTCCTTCCCAGTGATCTTATTAACCTGTTTGTACCTCCAAAGCTGCCAGAACTGGTCTCCATGGTCCTAAGGCCATGGAGAGTTCCCTGGGAGAATCACCCTAAGGCGTCCCAGGAGGTGCTGCCTCCCTGGGGCAGTTTTGCTAGAGTTTCTGCCCCAGGGAGCACCAGATGATACAGTGGACCAGAGTTGGTTCTCACCTTGGAGCCTCTGCTTTTGCCCAAGGTGGTGTCTAAACCTTCACTGAGTGGTAACTCAGCCCACAACCAAGCTCTGCTCTCTTCAGCACCCCCAGAAGGAAAGCTGATGGTCAGAAGGGAAACTCATTAAAGAGCCTCATTTTGCCCCACATCCCTTATTCAAGGCTAAGTGGGATCTCAGAATTTATTTTGCATGACCTGATTGCTGTAGATTTTCTATACTAGTGAGGACACTTGGCTTGCAAGAAAAGGAATTAGTTCCAGCTAGGTGGTTTCGGTTATCTATCACTGCATAACAAACCACCCAAAACTTACTGACTACAAGCATCAGTAGTATACTCTTTTTCATAATTCTGTGGGTTAAGAATTTAGACAGGGCTCTGCTAGGTTGATTTTTGCTCCATGTGGCATAGCCTGGGGTCACTCACTCAACTGCATTCAGTGGGTGGCTGGGTTGGACTGGAAGGGCCAGGAAAGCTCCAATCCTTTGTCTGTGCCTCAGTGCACTCTGCATGGCCCCTCTCTCTCCACGGAATCTTTCCTTATTCAGTAGTCTGGCCCAAGCTCCTTTACATGGCAGCTGACTCCCAAGAGAGCAAGGATGGAAGTCTCCAGGATTCTTAACAGCTAGGCCTAGAACTGGTAAGGCATCGCTCCACTGCAATCTATTAGAGAGGAGAAATAGATCCCATCTCCTCCTGGAAGAATGACTTATGCATCCAGGGAAGGAAGATGTTAATGGTGGTCATCTTTGGAGACTGTACCCCATTAGGCAAAAGGGAAATTTAATATAAGGATTCAGAGGTATCTCAAGGGATCCAAGGGCAGGAACACAGCCTAGTCTCATGAAAGGTCTGCTTCTCATCCCACATCTTAGAAAATATAATCTCATACTATACCTTCCTAGTTGTTATATTTCTTCTTAGTCCTAATTCCAAATTCCCGGGGAAGGAACTCTGATTGGTCCAGGTCACCCTGAGTGCTGCCCCTCATCCAATCAGCTGTGGCCAGAGGTGCCAGGCTATACAAACAAGGCTGCTGAGTGCTACTCCAGAGAGTGCAAAGGGCCTTTGTAAATTGAACGGACACCCAGGGGGTGTCCACAGGACTTTTAAAACATATTAAATATGGAATTAAACATTTGGGGAAATTTGTGTGTGCGGGTTTTGTTTTTGTTTTGTTTCCCAGTGGTAGGTTCCTCCATGTCTTTATCATATTTCTTTCTATCCAGAGCCTCTCAAAGGCATTACTCATGTATTCTGCCCGCAAGGGGACAGGCAGCTTGGTGGCT